GCAAGTTAATTAACATTATCGCTTATTATATAAAAATGGACCTCATTCTTATAGATGAACATATCGACGAATATATGCAGCTTATGGACACTGATGCGACAATCGTGTTGGTCTGTATAACTAGGGTAAATACGGCAGTCTAGTTCACCTTTAAGAAGTTACCACCTACTGTAATTTAATGTGGTGAAATAGAAGTAAGATTCCAACAGTTTACTTTTCCTCTTCCTGCTCTTGCAGCTATGAGTGGGTGTCGGCTAGCGGAGGTGACGTGCAAAAGAGGGCGATAGTAGCAGGCATCGCTTCTGACGGCCAGCCGCTGTACATCGCCAAAGCCCTTGTAGGGGACGAGGTTTGTGGAGGCAATGTGTGTAAAAAAATTTCTTTAAAAAATCTTCTCTCTACTTGTTTATCGAACGCAAACCTGCCAACCGTATAACTTGACTGTAAACCATCTTAATTCACAGTATGCCTACTGTCTAATTAACAGGCTATAAAGTCCAAAGGTTGCCGTGTGTTCAACGTGAACTATTTGTAGATGTCAAACGCATTTAACCATTGATACAAAAGTGAGTCGCTTAAGATACTGACTAGGACAGTATTTTACTTAAAAATGAGTATTATATGATATATATTAAAAATGTCTGCCTTTTAGCTTCATAACGGCCATCCACATGCAAATATACCGTACGCGGGTAGTGAGCATTCTGTGAAGGACTATGACATCCTGGTTTGGAAGAAGAAGTAGGCCATCCCAGCGGTTACCGCCTGGGCATGACATTACTACGCTTGGACGTTTAAATGCTTTTCTGTCAATAACTTACTCAATAAATTATTTCCGCATCTTTTTTGAATTTCATAAATTAGCACCTATATGATGACAATAACGGCTGCGATCTGCCATGCCCAGTTCCTTAGAAGAGGAGAAAGGTAATAGGAAAGCTAGATTAGTAGGAAGAGCGCGTTCTGTACAGATGGAGAGGAGCATAGCTAGGAGGAATTTTTGACTGTTGAAGTATCATATAAAAAATATAAGTCATGGGAAGCCAGAGTGGTAGGAAGAATTTATTCTGTACAGAAGCAGTGGAAAATATACAAGAGGAATTAGGCTATCCGAAGGGCGAGCAGTCGCCACCTACAACACCTTGTCTGAAGTAAGATGACCACGGAAATCTCCACAGACTTTGGAGCGACCTTTGTATGAGTTGGCGCTAGTAGGGGATTGGTCAGACGGATAGGCTAGACGGACGGACGTACGTGGCAAGAGCATGTATACT